CAAATCAAGAAGTAAACCTATTAAACACTAGCACACGACTTGAGGATTGTAACCTATCGTGTTGACAAAATTTTATTTCTGTGCCAATCCAGTTGAGTGATTATGCATATGAGTTCTACGAATTCTCAATTGAATGCATAAGGGCAAACACCTTGATAAATGAAAGTACATTGACTGGCATAGGTGAGCTGCTAAATAACTTGGAATCAATGGTGGGACCCTTGATGGCAAGAAATTAAGAATGAACAAGTTCTGTCCATAAGAGTTTGAATTTGTCACAAACATTATCTTACGATTATGCTTATGACAAATTTGCATGGATAGGAACACATGCACCATAAAATCTAAGTGTCATAAGGTTTCTCTTCTTTATGAAAATGATTGTGAGGAAACGCTTTCACTAAGAGAGATTTTAAGGAGATAGCGATTATGTAAATTGCATTCTCAAATTCGATTATGATTACGGCATCCCTCTTCATAGTTCGAATTGTGAGATTTGGCAGTTAGTCTGAACATTTAGGACTTAGTAATATAAGTTCTGAATTAGTTTAGACACACATGTGAGCTATCTAAGGAAATGTGTGTGAATTTGAGAAGCTTAGATAAAGGCCTATCGAAGCACATCGAATTGGAAATATGAACTTTGAAAAGTCAATAAGTATTGTCTTTTAGAAGTCCAACTATTTTCTGAATACGTGTCAAAGCTAGTGGGAGCATAAATGTTATGTTGGTATGGATATAATCATCATGTTAGTGGGAGCGTGATTATTATTGCAAGTTAGCAATATTAATTATAGAAAACAAAAGTTTCACTTTGCAAAGTTGCATAGGTTAAAAAGTTGTTTTGCTATAATTAAGGGAGAGAATATTATACTTCGTTTCAAATCTAAAGGTTTAGATCGATAAATTTTGATCAAATTTAGTCAAAAGATATATGAATGTTATGCTGAAAGGATTCAACGTAAGAGAATTCTATATATGGTGATAATTGTTGCGTTCTCAAACTCGATTATGATTACGGCATCCCTCTTCATAGTTCGAATCATGAGAACATGACAAATAGAAATATTATGGCAAGAGACTGGTAAAGTATCACGTCTTTATGTAAGACATTATGCATCGTGTTCCATACGCTTCGAGTATAGAATCAATTGCATATGCTATAATATTTACGTGTTCTAAAAATTTTCCAAATGCCTAGGGAATTAAGAGGGAAAAAGGATTGGAACCATATATGACTAAAAGTGGTTAATCAACAGTCAAGAGGGCAATCTAAGGTTTGCCAAGGCTGGTCGCTTGTGAACAGTTGGAAGTATAGTAATGGAAGGACCATACTAACATTATTATTATTAGATATGATTCTATTAATAATGAGTTGTCATATGGAAAATCTGGAAATGTTTCCATATTAGGAGTTGGACGTTAAGAGTTTATGTCTAGTTCAAAGGAATGTACTTTGAATGTGAGACTGCACGTCTATGGAATTGTCTTGTAACAATCTCCAATAGAGCATTTTGTAATTTCATTGGCCGATTCTTGGTGACTTTTGTGCCGTGACATTACGAAAGGACCGTTGCATAAAGTGTAAGAATCTAACATATTCTAGTAGTGGCGAGAATTTTGTAATCTTACACTAATTGATAAGGATTAGGAATTGTGAAATGAGTTTTGGTGAAAATGTTCTCAATATCTCTATTTCACAAGGTAAGGACCATAGGAAAACATAGTGTGCATGCTAAGAGCATGGGACAATTGTTGTTATAATTCAAGTAATACGTTGATTACTCGAAACATTATACAATGAATAATCTGTAATCAATATGGTGACTAAATAAAAGGAGTTTTATTTATACTCCAAACTTTGGCGCCATATTGGATTCAATTATTATTGTGTTTCAATTTGCATGTTTTGACTTCCTAAATAATTGAGTTATTTGAGAATAATCGAATTATTTGAACATTCCACAGTCGCTCATACTTTGGGAGTAGGTATGAAAGAACATTGTCATGAATTGGTGTGTAGATTGTCTAAAGTGTATTAGACATAGAAAAAGTTTGCTACAACGTTCATGAGTGCTTATGAATATGATTTGAGCATTGGATTAAACCCACGCTCACTTGGATCGCTTCATGGATTTTATCACGAGTGATTGGTGAGACGATAATATCTTATATTCTTGAAACCGAGATGTGTGAGTTGTATCTTGCGAGTCGGTTGCACATTGATAATATGTAAACGCACCAGTACAAGTGAGCATTGAGTTGAAGTTTATCCATTCCTTTTACCCAATGTAGGATAAAAGCGATATATGTGGGCCCCTCGATGATTTAGTGATGACAAAGGAAAGTGCTCGGCCGGGCCAGGACTGATTTGATTTGTTCAATTAGTCAGTCGTCATAAATCAGAAATCGGGAAACAACACATAGACTGAGAAAAAAGATTTCAATCCATGTCTCACGTCTATACGATATCTAGAAAGGAGGAATATATGATCCCTTATCTAAAGGACGTGTATATGATAAGATCAGAGTTGACAGCAGCTTTTGAAAGCTACGATTGCTGATCAGGATCTGAAGTCATACGCAGAATAGTTATTAGACTTATCCAAGTGGGAGAATGTTGGATTAGTGTCTACGCCCATAACTATTTTGGTATGTACTTGACCCGATTGCGAGCATGGTCCTTTTTGGGTTGCCTTCACCAAAGCAACTTGATAGTATGATTTATGGAAAAAGAGAATAATTATGATTTATTAATATATTATATGAATAATATATTAAAGGAGAAATTATATTATTTAATTAATAATAGTCAAGAATTAATCAGAATTAATTTTGTGGCTAAAAGACATTAATTAAATAAAGGGGACTAGAACTGTCAATTGTGAGATAGTTAGATATTGGGCTAATGGACTCCATAGAGGATGGAGTGGACGAAATCTATGGGGAAACCCATTAGAATTCATCCAAGGCCTCTAAATGAGGAGTCCATGGGCTGCTTAGGGCCTAAGCAGTCAGATTAGGGTTTCCTAGTTCAAAACCCTAATAGCCTCATATATTTAAAGACCTCTAGGGCACCAAAACGTGGTTAAGCATTCCTTAAGGTTCTTGGACGATTCTTGGTGCCTCCTTCTCTTCTCTTAAGTCATCCTCTTGCTCTTGGTGTTTGTGAGCCATTAGAGGAGTGACACTTGTGACTCTAAGCTTTTAGAAGCCAATTACTAGAAGGAATAGATTGTTATTGCTACATAACAATCAAGGTAAGATCTAAACCCTATTCTTATGTTAATATCGATTATCACATGCTAGATCTAGGGTTTATGGCTTTGGATGATTATTGCATGTTCATTAGACAAACTAGATCCAAAGCTTTAGGGTTTGCATGTACACCATAGGAATGTTGTAGTGCTCAAAACCCATCAACTATACACTAGAGAACATACTATACACTAGAACAGGGAGAACATACTATACAAATACAAGAATACTATAACATTAATGTTAGCCACTACTTCATGACACGACAATATACTGTTGTGTCACGTTTTGTAACCAGAGTCTCCTGGAGGGAGAACGTGAATTTGTGTATAGATCTATACGGGATTGACCATCCTACACCTTGCTGCTAGCTACAGTGGGACCTGCAGGTCTATGGGTGACGAATGTCATACCATTTCGACGTCTAGAATGTTGTGTTTTACTAGTCAATCAAGTATGGTTATAATCTCATCACATTTTACCTTAATTAAACAAACAGGTTTAAGGTAGTTAGTACATCGGTAGTTACTTATATAATAAACTACAATACTTCTTTATTTTCCCATTGCATTCACATTGTGATCTTCTCACATAATCGGTAATGAAAACTATATTTTGGTAATGATAGTCATACTTGGGAAAAACACTCACTTTTACAAAAAGAACAAACATACAAAACAGTCGGGTCTTGGTAGAAGACTACTTTAGTAGAAAATATAGGATTTTCTAGGAAGTATACAAACATTTACATTCAAACACTTACAAACTTTTACATCAAACATTTACAAGCACTTTCATCAAACTTATACAAACAATGACATTAAATAGTTATGAACTCACCAGCTTTAATGATGATCTACGCTTTCAAAATAACTTGTATTCTCAGGTCACCAGTAGACAGGTACCGATGACCAGGTTTTGAGAAGACGGAGCACGTTCAAGACTCCTCTTTTATTTTGATTCATATTTTGGTGTCTTATAAACTATACAGAACACACTTGTATTAAATTATACTATTAATGCAATGGATGATGTTGTTGCTTGTTTTACTGTTATGCATTGTTGTGATACTGTACATGACATCCTCCTCCCCCGAACGTTTCCGCCGTTCTGGTTTGGGGGTGTGACAACCTCCCTAACCAGATTCGCCACCTGAGATTCTATAACAATTTTCTCCCTAGACAGCATGAAATAGCATTCATTGAACTTGCGTCGCTCCTCTTCGAGAAACCAAACCTTCTGCACAAGCTCGTCACGCTCTGATTTAACGACAGCCAACTCCGCTAAATTGACCCTATGTAACGAAGACGACCAGCAGCCGCCACCAAGTAAGGAGCAACCTGAGCAGCGGCATACTGAAGATCGTTCGCCATGTGAGAATAAGAAAGAGCATCGAGGGCCTCCAGGGTAGCCGGAGGAAACGCATGTCGGCACCATTCACGAGCGGGACCCTGTTTTGACAAAAGGGAACTGGGTGTAAGGTTCCACCCCGAGAGAGACACACCATGGGCACCCAAAGACAAAGGACCCGCCACCGACGGGGCGTCACCTGAAACCAAGGGCGGGTTGGAGAGAGTGCCCACAACACCCGGTTCTCCCAGCCAACGCAAACCCGCTGTCTCCATTGCTTGCGGGTCATCACCATCAGCAATCTCAATAACAATGGGTGAGATAGCGGGTAGGGGATCGATGGTGTGTATCCGACGTAAACATCGACCAATATTATTGCCACCGATATCCTCCTAAAGAGCGGAATCTGCAGCAGCAGACCGACTTCGGGAGACGACTTGACCGCTAACCACACCCGATCCCCTGACCGGAGAAGTAGCCCTGACCCCCGCCTCGACAGGAGGGACATCAACCTTAAAAACAGGGCCAACTTTGGCTGGAGACGATAGCGTCTCCACTTTAGGGACTTCGTGATACTGAAGATCCCCTTTAAAATCCCCCCGTAGCACTTGTTCAAGAGACAAAAGCCTCTCGCTACCTGCAACGACAATAACGAAAAACCCATTCTTTTTAGCAAAAGAAACTTGATATAAAATAAAGGAAGGCAAAAAAAAAAGGGGGGGGGGGGGGGGGGAAGGAAGGTGGCACTTACCATCATTGTCCACAAAAAACTGAGGCATCTTTCCATGCGACCGCCAAGCAGTGCTCATTACGGCTGCTGCCAATACACAAATCCCTCTTAATGCATGAGCCACCGACAAACCAACCCCGACAGTTGGTGCGACCGATCTGAAGCCATGGGCACACGAGGATAGCCATCCTGACCAAATCACTGTTAACCCACAGCCACTGATCCTGCCAGTTCTTCCGAGGCTCTTTCTGGTTAAATATAAAGGAATGCGTGTTACAGCACTGAGAAAATGTGTGAACACCCGAGTGGGTAGATGAATTGAAGAAAGACTGGAATGCTTAAAGATGGTGAAGCACGCCCAACGCTCAACACCCTAACTCAAACCCAACGATCTTGTTCACAATGTTTGGGGTCAAGTCGTGAACAGAGAAACCATATTCTCACATAACCTCATCGATGAAGTTAGAAACGGGAAGACGAAATCCGGCCTCGAAGATCGCTACCGGAATACCGACCTTCCCCGCTGGCGGTTGATAAATCATAGACCCTTCCGACGGGAATTGAACTCCATGCTCAGGTATGAACCTAAACCGGAATTAAAGAGACTCGAACTCCTCGGGTGTAGGAGCGATTCCAGATTAACAAAGGCCATCAAGAATAGGAGAGGAAAAATATAGGAGAAAGGAGAAGCAATAAAAAAGGATGAGACATCGGATTATGGAGAGAGGAAGCGTATAACCGTTCCTAAAGATAGAGGGCCCCTATATAAAAAAAAAGAGAAAGGAATAAACGAAATGAAACGATGCTATCTCGCCAAAACGACTCTATTACATCAGAAACACGTCATGAATCGTGTGACAACCCGAAATTTCTATTATGTACAACCATACACTTCCATAGGAGTCAAAACTGTTTCTGCTAATTTTCAAGCTTTTTGGAATAAGTTTGAGTATTTTAAGATTAGTACTTCAGGAGATAACAGGAGAGAGGATGCCCTAGGGTTTATTGTGCAACAATAAAATTCCAAAACTCCAAGAGTTTGGAGTTTACGGCCTAAACAAAGGTGTTTACGGCCGTAAACCCTAAAAGAGGGTATAAATATGACACTTAGTCATTATTTATCACTTTTCACAATTTCAAGATCCAAAACTCACTTCTCTCTCAAGTATCATCGACTTTTCTTCTTGATCTTCAACATTGTAAGTGTTTCTAGCCCTAAAAAGTTGATATCTTACTTAATCTAGTGATCTAACATGATTCCATCCGTGAAATCATTCCAAAAGTGTAGATCTTCAAGTTTCACCAAGAACACCAAGAACACACACTAGTGTTCTTGGACTTTTAGCACCTTTTCAAGCTTCTACCTAGTAAGTACTTCTATCCTAGAGTATTATAGAGCTTGTTACACTTCTAAACATCAAGAAAACACCCAAGAAACCAAGGATCAAAGGTGTTTATGGTCCAAGATGTTCTTGGACCGTAAACCCTAAAAAGGGTGCCAAAGTGTGCCCTAGTCCCTTCTAAGCCTTGGAAACTAGCCTAGATCCCTTCCTTGATATGCTTAGTGCTTGAAAACATCAAAAGACCACAAACCATTTGGGTTTACGGCCGTAAACCCAAAGGGAAATGGTCCAAGGACCGTAAACTCCTAAAAGGAGTGAAATGGTGCCCTAATCTCTTCCTAAGGCTTAAACAAGAAGTAGGAATGCTTCTTGTGATCTTTAAGGCTTCAAAACACAAAATGGTCAAAGAAACATGAGTTTAAGGCCGTAAACTCATGGGTTTACGACCGTAAACTCAATGAGTTATGGTCACAAAACCGTAAACTCCAATGAAGGGTCCCCTTGAACCCTAAACTCAATAGCAATGTCCTACAACACTTAGATGCAATCCTTAGGACTTATAGCACTTATATAAGGTGTTTTATATGTCCCATGATGTCTTAACTTTGTTAATTAGTTGTTTAAAGACTAATTGGATACATATATGTGTTATTATATGTTAACTAGGATCATTGTGTGTGTACAAGTCTTCACTTGGCACCTAGCATCCTATACATTCCGTTCATCCAAACCACTCACTACAGGTGAGTTCATACCCCTTAATTAACCTTTTAAATGTTTTTAAATGCTTTTATGGGGGGAATACAAGTTGAACTATTATAGTTATTATATCAATCACATGTGATTAATAACTACCAAACAAGTGGATTTCTTACTTTTCAAACTGTGTTATCAAACTGTTTTACTTCAAACTGTTTTACAAACTCTTTTACATATCAAATACTTTTATTAAACTCTTTTAACTTATATTCTGTGTATCTATATGGATATAATTATATAAGTAGGATTGAAAGGACTTAGGACTGATAGCTCACCTTACTTCCTGTTCCTTGTTTGGTTGTGGACTTAGGGTATTCGGGCTATTTGTCCGAAGGTCGTTTGAATCCTAGTTATATATCATGTATATGTATATAGATATAAAAGGTTACTTCTTTCATTCAGTTCAATGCCTTTGGGTAGCAAAGGTATACAAACATGTTCATATACACAAACAACATTACTAGTAAACTATAATAGGTATAGTTTAGGAAGATACTATTACTAGAACAATGAAACATACAATGAGTCAGTTGATGAGAAACAAACATAATACATAGTGATGAGAAACAAACATAATAAATAGTGATGAGAAACAAACATAATACATAGTGATGAGAAACAAACATAATACATAGTGATGAGAAACAAACATAATACATAGTGATGAGAAACAAACATAATACACAGTGATGAGAAACAAAACATACAGGCTAGACAGAGAAAGAACACACAATACAGCTAGCACATACATATACATATACATATATATTACTTACAGTTATGTGAGCCACTTAACGGGGGCATGGCACTACCTGTCATGACCCGTTTTGTATCCAGAATCTCCTTAAGTGGGGAGCGTATGAGTTTGTGTATAGATCTATACTGGATTGACTATCCTACACCTTGCTGCTCGCTACAGTGGGACTTGCAAGTCTACGGGTGCCAAACGTCATTTCTAACGACGTCTTACATCGTCGTTTTACTATAGAGTCGGTAGCAGGATACAGGCCGATCACATGGTACTTTAAATAACAATTGGTTTAAAGTAATTAGTACATCAGTAGTTACTTAATACAACACTACAGTACTATATCATTTTCCCTTTACATTTACTTTATGATATTCACACAATAAACAATAATGTAGAAACTATATTTTTGGTTAATGATAGTCAGATTTGGGAAAATACATACTCTTACAAGAGACACACACACATACACTAGATGCCTTGGTAGAAGGCTACTTTTAGTAGGAAACATAGGGTTTTCTAGGAGAGTTCAAACAATTACAAACTTTTACAAAACTTATACATTACAAGACTTACAAACACTTTCATAACAAATACATACACTAATATACTTATGATCGCACCAGCTTTAAAGCTGATAAACACTTTCAAAATAACTTGTATTCTCAAGTCACCAGTAGACAGGTACTGGTGCCATGTTTTGAGAAGATGGAGCTTGTTCAAGACTCAACTTTTATTTTGAGGTATATTTTTGGTGTCTATATAACTTGACAGAACACACTTGTATGAAATTATATTATTAATGCAATGGATGGTGTTGTTGCTTGTTTACTACTTTGCATTGTTGTGATACTGAACATAACGTCGTCCACCCTCGAACGTTTCCGCCGTTCCGGTTTTGGGGTGTGACAAATCGTTCCCACCAGACGCGTGCCTAGATCTAAGCTAGAACTATTCAGCTACCTTGAGCAAACGCTGATGTCTACTAGCCTAGGGGACCGGTTAACATATCCCACCAGGAATACGTTGAATATAGCGGAACGATTAGTCTGATAGACTGTTTGGGCAAAGAGAGGCGTACGCCTAACGTTGGGTCCTCGCTCTCATAATCCCATATTCAGTCCTTGGCGCCCAACCGCCTCTCAGAGTGATAGGTGTAGTGCTCAGAATGTTGCTCCTAGAAAACCTGCACCAATGGCAAACGACCACCCGCGGAGTACGATCTACCAATCAAAGGTCGTCTATCCCTGCCAAACCTGAAAAGGTAAAAGATTCTGTCAGAGATCTGTCCCCCAGACCACAGGTATAAAAAGTTCCCTTCTCCTCCAAGAGAAGGGATCGAGAGAAAAAAAACCCTTATGTACTTACTTAACCCTTTTCACCTTCTCTAAAAAACGAACTGACTTGGTCGTCGAAGCTTCGTTCTGGGATCGCCTCCCGGATGATGACTGTCGATCTTGTTTCCTTTGCTTTGATTCCCAGGCCCTTTATATCCATCCCACAAAGAGACATAGCTAATCCAGATACATATAACAACAGATGAGAACCACGATAATTACCAACAATAGTCCTTAATATAGGTCTCTATTGATGAATAAAGAAGATAATGAGAATGGGTAATCGGGTGTGATGCGTGCATTTAACCGAGATCAAGTAAGTGATTCCCATAATACTCATACATGTTTGTTATGTTACATGATATGAATGTTTGCATGCTAGATTAGGGCTAAGGATTTGCTCAGGATTTCATAATAAGAGAGATGCCTTTATATGCCTGATTGTTTGAGCTTTTGGAATTGCATGCTAGTATGGATTTTAGATGATTGGATGGACTAGCCTGATATATGATTCCTCATTGCCTAGGAGGGTAATATGCTATGCTAGAATTGGAATCTGTATTGGTAGAAGTAATTGCTAAGTGTATGCTTTAAAAATTGTATACGGTTGGATCATATAGCCCTAGAATGATTGATTTGGCCTTATTTTTTTATTCCTTTTCTGGTTATGGTCCTAGGATAGAGTCTTTCATTCGACAGCCTATATGATCATGTATTGTGTATAATTTGCATGCATAAGGTAACCGGCAATGAGAGTGGAAGGTCCTAGCATGGCTTGTAACGAGTGAGCTTGGTGTGTCCTCTGTTTGTTCTATGCTAGGAGTGCTATTGCACGAATGCTTCTTGCTTTGTGCTTTGTGGG